GCCCCGGCTTAAGCATGCTCTATGTAAGGAAGCCGATGAAAATAAGTGAATGATCCTTATTTTTTCTTCTCTACTAATGAATTAAAAATAGGGATTGCATCTCCTGAGCTAGGTGACTCTCACACGGTCACTTAACCCAACTGTTGTAAAACCTGCAAAAATAAAATAAAATATTCGCTGTTAGTTGGTTAAGAGGTTTCTGGTGCTGGACTTGGTAGGGAGGATTATGGTTTGATCCCCCACAACTACAATAGGGAAAATAAAGGGGTTGCACCAGTTAATGTACCAGAGCCCCATGCATTTGATAAGAATCACTAACTGGTCGCCTTACTATGATTATGTATGTATAATGGGCTTAATGTGATTGGCCCGAAAGAAAAGGGATTTAAAAAGGATGAAAAAGGTAGGCTTAAGTACGGTAACATGATATGAATTGGTTTGTATATGAAAGAAGCTTATGACCGCATTTGCGGAAAGTGCCACCACGATATCCTTGGTTCATTAGTTAGTACCTATCAACACATCCTTGATTGAGCTTAGAGTCTTTTTAGCCTAAATTGAATATTTGTGTGTTGCTTCTTTTCTTTTATCCCATAAGAGTTTTGCTTGAGGAGAAGCAAAGGTTTAAGTGTGGGAGAATTTGATAACACTGAAACACACTGTGTATTTGACTCAGATTGCACATGTTTATTAGAGTTTTATTATTATTTTCTTGTGTTATATTTGCTTTTTGTCTTATTTTCAGGTACTTTGCCTTGCAAGAGCCTTTCTTGAGGAAACAAAGCCAAAAGAGCGAGAAGTCGAGATTTTTGTGGAAAAATACACATGTGGCATTCAGTATTGCAGCCACCAAGGGAGGCGCCATGATGTGTAATCTATCAACCGACAGCCAACTTCCATGCAACCAAGATCTTCTCCATGTGTTCATATGGCGGGCGCTAATTAGGGATGGCAGACGCCATCTTTGTTAATTCCGTCCCACTCAAGAGAAGTTGTAACACCCCAATTCTACCCCTCATAATTATTTAATAAAATCAGAGTTTCAAAATTTCATCCAAACATAAATTGAGGTATCACATATTCGTGTTTTTCATCACTTTGCATTATAATGCATATCCCAAAATCAAAAGTCGGATATACCGATTCATAACATAAATCATCATATAAACATATGACTAATCACATAACAGCGGATGTGTTCACAAAATGTACGTATCATCATGTTATCATCAATACATAAGGTCATAAGATAGTATACATAAATTATCCTATCAAAATAATAACGTCGCCCAAATCCCGAGTGTTACTACTATCAGAGCAGAGCGACTCAAAATAAAGAGACTCGAGCTAATCCTCATCATCCTCGCGGATCACCTGCACGTTACCAATATAAAGGCAACGGCGAAACAAGTAAAGGGTGAGATACTCCAAAACATATAATTAAAGGCATGATAAAATATATAAATAGTTTTGGAATCATAAATGATATAGGTTAATAAGAATATGTCAATAAATATCAAATCTCACATACTTTAAAATCAACATTTAGTGTATAAGATCAACACTTTAATATCATTACATAATCACCATAATCATGTCAAATCAAGACATAAACTCCATTGTCATAAACTCATATCGTCGCTTTACCGTCATGTTATATCCATCGCATAATTTTCATGAAATTATCACATCATAATCACTTTATGTTCAACATAAAAATCATCACAAAACAAGATATCATATAACATCGCAATTCATTATAAGCCATCAAATAAAACTCAACGCCAAAAGACTCAAAATAAACATAACCGACTCCATGAGACACGACTATGTTATGCATGTGGTACCCGTCGCTTTGTCCATAATTAGGGACATTCGGCATAAAAGCCCATCGTCGCTTTGGCATAAAAGCCATCGTCGCTATGCATAAAAACCCTCATCGCTAATGCAATGTATGTGACTCGACAACTCGACAACACGACATCACAAATACGACACAACAAAACATCATCATCGCATATCAAAATTGGTATAAAACCCACGTCGCCATATTTATCCACATCAAGATAAACATATCATCGCATCGCATATCATCAAGTATTCATTATAAATAAACCGTCGCAAACATCATATTTAATCACACCACATCATTATCAAATAATTCACTAAATTTCAAACACGAAAAAATAGTCAAACATCAATAATCATCGCGAAAGTCATTCATAATAATCGGCACCAATCATAATCATTAACGTCGCAATCGGATTGTCCATACGTGACTTAAACCGACTAAAACGCAACCCATTTCAAATTAACCGTAAATTGACTTATTTCGGGTTGCTCCGTTAAAAACTCGTAATCTCGAAAAACTAACCTCACCATGATGTTCTACACGTCGAAATTAGCTAGCACGTCAATTTTCGTTAAATTCGGAGCAACATGCTCCGTCATCGAAATTGCCGAAATCGGGAAATCGGAACATAATCGGGTTCCAAATTAAATCGGCCAACTTATATCATATTTTTATTTAATTAATATAAATATTTAATATATTAAATTAATAAAAGAAAAACAAAACATAAATTAATTAATTTTCTAAACTTAATTTCAATTCAATTAATATACCGCTAATGCCGCTAGTACTTTAGTTTCTAAAACTTCATTCCAATTGCATACTGCTACTTTACTGCTATTAAACTAAAACTTCATTTCAATATATATTGTTAACATAGTTATAAGTTTCTAAACTACTGCTAGTTTTCGTTTTCTATACTACTAGTTCTTAGTTTTTTCTATACTGCTACCACTTAATTTTCTATACTATTAGTTCTTAGTTTTTTTTCTATACTGTTACCACTTAGTTAACTTAATTCAAGTACATAACTTAATTTTAACAAATAATGCAAAGCAAACAATAACTGCATATTACATTTTTAGTTTCTTCTAACTATACTGCTAGATTTTGTTTCTATATAAACTATATATAAACTAAACTATGCTGCTAGATTTTTATACTGCTATTACATTTTCTAACTTCATCAATTAACATACAGCTAGTTCTAGTGGTTATAAACTAAACTTAATTAATAATTTAGTTTTTCTAATTTAATTTCTATTAACATAACAATAATTCCACAACACTACCACCTAAATTAACTCTTCTAATTTATCTCAACAAATCTCAAGAACCATAACATCAATTTTATCCCAAATCAAAATATACCAAATCAAAATATACCAAATCAAATCCTAACTATAAGCATTGGAAAATCAAACCACTTACCTTAAATGTTTGAAATGATTTTTGTTCTTCCAATCCAAAACTCAAGCTAGCTCTTGTGTTCTTGTTTCCTCTTCTCTTCTAAGAACTCTTTCTCTTGCTCTCTCTCTATGTGTTTTAATGTTATGACATAAAACAAGATGTTTGGTTGGTTTTGATTCAAGACAAAAGCTACGCAAAGTTACTAAAAAGTCCCTCATCAAATATACGAGTACTTCATAACACCAAATTATATCAAATAATATTATTAACCCAAATAATTAAAATAACTCCAAATAATTAAATATCGGTCCGAATAATATTTTACCGAATCGAACGAAATAAATACCGGACCGAATAAAATGATTACCGGTCCCTCAAAACAAATACCGGACCGAATAAAATAATTATCGGTCCCTCAAAACAAATACCGGACCGAATAAAATAATTACCGATCCCTCAAAATAAATACTGGACCGAATAAAATAATTACCGGTCCGAATAAAACGTCGTCGAATATATTAACAAATATACCGGTTAATATAAATATTCTCGTCGCGAAAATAAACGTCAAACGGTAACTCAAAAATATTAATATAATATAATATTAAATAAAACGGGGCGTTACATGTTCATATGGCGGGTGCCAATTAGGGATGACAGACGCCATCTTTGTTATTTCCGTCCCACTCAAGAGCAATTGGAGGGCAGCTTTGTCATTTCAGAGGATTTCGATTTTCTATAAATAGGTGTTTCTAATTTCATTTCTTCTTCGTCCAACTTAGTCCGCAACACTAAGCATAAACTCACCATTATAAAAGCGATAATTCGTCACATCGGGGGTGTCATACTCTAAATTTGTCCCACCCATTAATATTTTTATTTGGCTTATGCATCTCATTCTCTTCATGTACATACCCTCCATTAAGTCATCTAACACGTCATGCATCATTAACCAATAACTTGGTATTGGGATTAAGGACCTTACAAGATAGGATTTTCAAGAGGATTATGGTTCTTATACATGGTGCTTGCACTCGTTAATTCAATTGAGGTTGATTAGAGGTGTTCCTCTCTGCTCCAAATATCAATTTCATTCTCAAAGACTCTTCAAGGCATAATTGTTGCGTTGGATTAAAATATGAGGGGTTTCACCATGGTTCAAAGTGTAAATCATTGAAGTCATATTGGTGCTCATGGAAAATTAAAGTTTGATTCAATAGAATCTCATTAATTAAAAACTTGGGGTTCAGGTTACATTATGCTGGCAACTATCAGATGAATCCTAGGTTCTCATTATCACTATGAAGGTCATCTCAGTAAGGGTTCATTTGGAGCTTCCTATTATTTGACTAAGGCTTGGTTCATCATTTCTTGAATCACAAGTTATTGGTCTAGAACTTTGTGCAAGATGTAAGAAACACTTGGTGTATTATCATTTCTTGAATCACAAGTTATTGGTCTAGAACTTCGTGCAAAATGTAAGAAACACTTGGTGTATTAGTGGAGTATTCTAGATTGGAGGGCACACTGTCGAAATCCTTCTCAAATTTCTAGGTGGCTTTCCATCTTATAGGGTACTTAGTCAAAGATAACAAAGACTAAGATATTCAATTTCAAATCAAAAGAATCAAAGTTAATGGGAAATACAAAATATTTCATCCATTGGGAAAAGCAAATTTCATTATTCAGGAATGATACAAAATACATCTCTTGAGTGTAAATATAAGTGCCTTGTTTCATGTACAAGTTTCATTTCAAGCCTTTATCAAAGCTACAAGAAAACCTAAAGGTAAAACATGAGCCAAGTTGTTCAACTTCAATGATCTTCATGACCAAAACTCAAGATATGTCGCATCTTTGCCTCGTCAACATGCTCAGCCTTGAATTATCCATGCTTTCAAATTGCTTCAAATCTGCCTACTGTACCAAACAACCAAAAGAAAACTTCAAAATCCATCTGTGGCATTATCTAAAATAAGAAGAATAGTACACATCATCGTCATATATCAATCAAACAAGCTAGGAAATCTTCAATTCAAGCAAGGAAAGTCACTCTAGAAATTAGACAGTCAGTTATAAATTCAGTACACCAGATGCAACACGTGCTATAGCGCGGTGCAATTCAAAACAATGGCCTGGCAGCTATGTGCTACTGTAAATGCAGAGGCAGAATGCTAAAGAGCATGTTGTGCAGTATGGAAAAGGTTTCCTGGTCCTGATGTGCTAGCACAAATGAAGCTGGAAGTTAAAATTGGTCGAGGTTACGGAGAAACCCGGTTATAGAAGTCTCCTGTCTACAAGTTCCGATGACAAAATAATTTCATTTCAGTTGACACTCCAACAATTATCTCTTATCTTTTTACTAACCTAAACTAACTTCTAACCCACATAATTAACAAACTGCCTGAACGAATAACAAGCTGCCTGAGTCGATTACTTCCCTCCAATTTTCTAGTTTAAAAACAACACACTAAGACCTCGCTATTCTCATCAAACTCTCTATTTCATTATAACAAACTCCCAGCCTATAACTAACCATTAATCTCCATAACAGAATCCTAACTGAATTTCAACTGCATAACTACCTCTAAATCACACCCTCGATTTGATAACTACCTACTCAGATCCTACAGCCCTAAACCATGTTCACAAAACCAATACCAAAATATATCCATAGCCCTACTTCAGTTCAATATATCAGGAAACTGGAAAATCAGAAGAAAGTATTAAACCAGAAAATCATTAAATCAGAATATGCACTAACAATAACAGAGTTTCTTAACTTCCAGCTCACGAGACTGACTTCTAACTGAATTCAACTTCTCTAACTAACTCTCAAACCGACTCAGATCTCACCCTCCATTTTCATAACAGAAAATTAAAATCAACAGCTCAGATCAATGGCTGAGATCTTCTCAAGCTCTAACTGATTCTCCTAGCCTTATCACCTATATAAACTCCTTCCTTCTCCATTCACAAGGTTGACGCATCATTTTCTTTTTCCAGTTTCATCTTCTCTACCCTCCTTCTCTCAGAACCATTAAAACTCTCACAATCTTCATCTTCAAATTCTCCCTTATTCCTCTTTGAGTTTTCTTTGCACAGCATCATTTCAACCTTCAAACTACTACGCCTTTCATCATCATCTACGACGCACCTTCATCTCCGTAAAACCTTCATCTCCGTGAAGAACCGTCGGAGTTCTCCGGCTGATAAGCTGTTCTTACTTACCTTCTTGCCCTGTAATTTATACCGTAGTGTAGCATGTAACATGCCGAGCAATAATCCCAAGGTTCTGAGGCTCAATTGAGCGTGAGGACTGTTCGATCTAGCTTTTAGTCTTTTAGTTTTTTCGTGAAGATTCAGGAGGTTAACATAGAAATTGGTAGAAACGAACCTGGGATTCGAGTTCAGGTTGTTGAGGCGAGGTTTGTGGTGATGTTTTCTTTAAGTTTTCTGGCGCATATGTGGTGGGGATGGCCGCGGAGATGCCGCCGGAAATTGTAAAAGACGAGAGGGAAGAATGTTGAGCCTGAAAGAAGCTGAATAGTCATACCATGAACAAAACTAAAACGTTGGTGTTTCAACTATTTCCTTTTTCAATAAAATTTAACTAAAAAAATAAAAATATACATGCTGAGGGTAAAGATGGGGATTGTAGTAGACTTGGTTCCGTTTGGGCCTCAAAACACAGATCCAATATTTTTTTTTGTTATGCTGAAAAGTTTCTTTTTGGACTCGTTTCCGATGCGATATTCTTCATTTCTCATCGTTATGAGAAATTCATATTATATTATATGTTGTCTGGATGCATATGATATTTTGTGATACTTTGTGCAAGAATTTCTGATTATGCGTTGCATTCGTAACACATGTGTTTTTATCTTAGTTGGATATCGTTTCTGACTTTGTTTGTTTCTTGGTGAAGCTTGCTCGACACGTACTCCCTGCTTCTCCACTGCTTTCGTCCGCTTTTTACGATCCGCTTTCTTTTGGTAGTCGCTGCCACTACCTTTACATTTTCCCGCACTTTATCGGATTTCTTTACCGCTTTCTAAATAGCATGAGAAGTAGGAAATAAAGAGCGTACACTCGAAGTCGTTATTTAAAGACCTGTAGCAGGCACTCCGCACTTGTTTACTGATTATGCTTATGTTTGCTCTCATCTTTTGATGGTTGATGATGTCACTCAATTAGCATTGAGATAACGACTTCGGCCTTTGCATGCTCCCCATAGAATTTTATTGCTTTCTTTTTTTACTATCGATGATGTCACTCAATTAGAGTTGAGGTAACGACTTCAATCTTTGCATGCTCCTTTAGGGTTTTATCATTTTGATTTGTCAATGATCGATGATGTCACTCAATTAGAATTGAGATAGCGACTTTGATCTTTGCGTATTCCCTATAGAATAGTTGACCTCACCCCTAGGTTTTTGTTATGCTAACATAGGTAGACATTTTCCTCTTAGCATTTTTCTTCTCTTTTTGCATGTGCATTAAAACTAAAACCTTCTCTTTCTTGGAAAACCATAAAACCTCTTAATCATACTTAAACCCCTTTTTCAAGGTAACAAAACCCAAATAATCAAGCGTCACATCTTACCTTGAGGGCGTAACTCAAAACCGTTTTCACAAGGGTTCGTCACCCATAAAAAACACAAAACAAACCAAAACATGTGAGCAGAAATATGAAGCTCTGATTCCTCGATAGGGACAAGTAGGCGACGGGTCGCGGGGCCTAATCGAGCAAAATTCGTAAATACTTCCTTCTTTTCCCCGCATTTATTTTTCATGCATTCTTCCTCAGTAGTAAGAAGTAGACATAGATTAGACACACATATAAGATAGATAACAAGAGTGGATACCATAAAGTATTATGGGCATGCGGGGTGCTAATACCTTCCCCTCACGTAACAGACTCCCTTACACGATATCTCGGCCACATGACCGTGACTTCTCCCTTCTCAGGTTTTCTCGATATTAACATTTCCCTTCATGTGGGATAAAAGACGTTCAATGGCAACTTCATCGTTTGATGATTTTCAGTCGGTTGTTTCAGGGGGATTATTGCACCGTAGTTGTAAGTTGGTTGGAGCACTGTACTATTCATCTTTCTGCCATTTTACTTTCCAGTCAAGTTTACTTTCAAGTGTACTAGTTTAAAGTCTACTTTTCAGTTGTACCAGATTAAAGTCTCTGATTTGGAGCAGGTTTCTTATTCAAGTTTTTCGCATTTACATTTTACTTACCTTGCACTTGCTTTAATTTATTTATTTCATTGATATGTCTTTGTTTACTTGTTTATTATCTTGCACGATTGGTTGTTAAGTTTAGCAAAAACCTTTATCTCCAAAGTATTTTCTTTACCGCTGTCTATATTTGAAAAACCATCCATACACCTAGCACTTATTTTCAACATGATTTATTCTGCTATGTTGATTCCTGTTTTCATGTCTGACTAGAACCTTAAAGGCTAGGATGTAAGGACTGTCGGTATAATGGTACTCCACTTGTCGTATCTGTAGAAATGCTTTAGGGGCTATTATGGTTTTAATTCAAGTTTCCAGTACTTAATTTGATCCGTAACTACAAAAGTAGAGTCGAGATATAGTTGGGTAAGATCGAAATTTGTTCGAATGTTAAAGATAAACTTGGTTAGTTTTAAATGGTCAAAGATAGCGAAAGCACTTTGTCTGGTTAATTAGGAGTTTTTAACACTATTAGAAAACAATTTTGAAACTATCTTCGGACATGTTTATAGGTTTAAAATTCGGTTCCTTGAGCGAAATTCGTGGATCCATTTTAAGTTAAACACTCCAAATCAAAATCACTTTTAATCTTAGTCAAGAGTTTAATTTCTTAAAAATAGATTTACTACTTTAACACGACAAACACCTTTCATAAGTGACAATGGAAGACATTAATTAGAGTGTAAACTCGGTTCTGAATACACAAAAGCGACAGTTCCTGTCAAATTGATTCTTCTCAAAGTAGAAAATATTTCCCCATAAGTAGTTCTATTTAGAAACAATTGAAGTATTGCATGACTGATGTGAATTACATTCAAGCCCTCATTTTATAAGAGTTTATTTTCTTCATTATTTATTTTCCTGTGCACTCAAAATACTTATTTTATTTTCCTTAGATAAACACCGTAACAATAGTAATCGATAGATTGACAATTGGTCTATGTGGGAATGATAATATTTTGTATTACTTTCATATTTTTCATATACTTGTGAATAGTACATACCAGAAAGCCCTCGCCTGAATTTCCTTTTGACACAAAAATTGAAAGAACTTTTCACACAAGGCATAAACAAGCTCGATTAGGAAGATTGTCCTCTGATGAAGATAATTCAGTTCATACAGAATCAGAGTCAGAGTCAGAAGAAGAAAGACCTATGGGTGAAAATTCACCAGCACCTGAGAGACTTCTTGGGGACTATGGAGGAGAAAATGCTCCAGCAGGTCGATTGACTATTGTGTATCAACCGCTAAATGTTCAGTTGCACCCTTCAATAATTCGACAGCTTGAAAATAGACCTTTCATAGGAAAGATAAATGAAGATATGAATAAGCATTTATAAAGGTTTCTTACTATGGGAACTACCTTGAAGATTGAGGGGAACTCTGAAGAAGGAAATAAATTAAGAATGTTTCCATTCACGCTTTCAGAAGATGCTGAAGAGTGGTTTTACTCATTATTTGTTGGGAGTATTACTTGTTGGGAAGAGATGGAGAAAACTTTTCTTGATGAATACTTTCCTGCTTCTGTTTACATTCGCAAAAGATATGATATTGTGAATTTTAAGCAGAAAGAATGAGAGTCACTAGGTGAGGCTTATAAGAGGTTCAAGAGGTTATTCGTAGCTTGTCTCACTCACAATATGGACCAAACTGAACAAATACATATGTTTATAAATGGACTCAGAATAAAGACAAAGCAAATTATTGATACAGCTGCCGGTAGCT